ATACATGGATTACCTGTGAGCCACTCTTCTAGGCTCAAGAAGGTGTGTTCTTTTGGCAAGGTTGTTTTACAATCATTTACAAGCTTTTAATATTGTGTTTTATAAAAATTTGTGATTTTAAAAGATTTGCAGTTGATAGGTTACACTGAAATTGAAAAGTATCCAATTAATAAGGTTTTTTCCCCCTTTTCCTCTTTAATTATTGTTACTTACTGTGTGTAATGTAGGGGATACACACAGTTCCTTTGGAGACATTTCAGTTTTTTATTCTTTGGGACAGTATTACTAGTGGCCTTTGTATATACATTCATTCTTTATGTAATAGAGTAGCGTATTTCAAGAGTTCCCTGTTCAGTATTAGTGAAATTAACTAAGATGCATATATGTAAAGATAGAAAAGAAATTAATACAATTAACTTTCATTTAATGGAGGCCTGTTTATTTGGTTTGGCCCTGAAGCTTTTCTAATCACAGTCATACCTGTTTTTTCACTTTGGCCTTCTAGTGGTTTCATTTATCTTTGTGGGTAGGGAGGATTAAGTATGGAACTTTTAATTAAAATTTCTTAAAATTATGCCCTTTATTCGCCAATCAAATAAGCCTTAGAAGAGAAGGGTGTGTAATGTATATAAATTTTCTTTTTCTTTCTTTCTTTTTTTTTTCTTTTTTTCTCCGGTACCGGGAACCGAACTCATGACCTTGCGCTTGCCAGGCAGGCGCTTTTGCCGCTGAGCTAAATCCCCAGCCCCTCTTTCTTTCTTTTTCTTCCTTTTGAGCCTGGATCTCACTATGTTGCTCTAACTCCTGGGCTCAAGTCTTCCTGTCTCAGCCTCCTGAGTAGCTGGGGTTATAGGCATGCACCATCAGGCCCAGCTTAAATTTGCATTTTGAAGAATAAACTAATAATTTTCCTTTTCGTACATCATATATCAAGAACCTATCTCAAAAAACAAAAAAACCCCAAATGAAAAATTAAAAGATATTAAACAACAAACTTGGTTTTCATTTAGCTAATCTGTAATTCAGAAAAAAGCATAGGTCTGCCACAGGACTCTTGCAGTATGTCTCTACCCCAGCACAGGACAGCAGTATTATTTCCTGTGCTTGTCTTAATTTGGAGTGTGTGATAAGAACTTTCCACATGCTCAGCTCAGTTGAGAAGGCAGTTACTTCCTTGTTTATTTTGTTGAACTCTGTATCTCATAATATCTAATGTCTACCCCTTTATAAGTGTTAAGCAAGATGCAGTGCAAGTGCACACCCATCCAAAAGAATGATTGTGCTTTTAATAACTTGTCTTAATTAATTTCAACTTACTTTATGTTAGGGAGACCTCAAAGTATCAAAATCATCACTTTTCCCTTTTTCCTGAAAAAGCAAGTAAAATGGTAACTGCTCACAGTCATTGAAACTCACATTAGCTGTTGATAGAGGTAGGCAGTCCACCTTACTGTTGGGGAGCAAAAGGATGTTGTTTTAAGGTTGATTGTGGGATTTTAAGGTTGATTACAGGATGTTTATGACTAGTCCTGAGTTTTTCCTGTGTGTGTGGCAGAGAAATTTCATAGTTCAGGTCACTGAAGGAGAGGACGTGCTGGCATTTTAGGGATTTATAATACGCTGCTGTAACACAAAACATGGAATCAAAACTCAGGGCATCCCCAGACGAGGGACTGCTCTAAATAACCAGTCAGGTGGTTATTTTTTCTAACCCTTCCCAAGTTTTATGCAAAAAAATTTGTTAAATTCTGTAATGGTGAGATGTATCTTTTAAGAAAAATGATACTTTCTAAAAAAACTTTTATGTAAGAACTGACAGAGGAATTTGCTTTGTATAAAGATAGCCGAGCCGGCTTTAAGAAAGCACTGTAGCAGATTTACTACAAGTTCAAAACTATACAGATATGTCAATAGATAGGACAATTGTATTTTTTTAAATAAATATTTTTAACAAAATGCTTTTCTGAATGGAGTATTTATTTGCTTTCTCTCGCAACCATTGAAATAGTCTCTTTGCGTTCCATTTTCATCTACGCTGTGGGTCAGGAAAGAATTCAACTTTCCCAGTGGTGGTGGTGCAAACCTGGTCTTCAGCTACTCTCCATTAAAATATTCAGGGCCGGGGATGTAGCTCAGCGGCATAAGCGCTTGCCTGGCAAGCCTGAGGTTACAAGTTTGATTCCCTGTACCAAAGAATAAAATAAAATATCCAAAGCCTAGCTTGGGATGCTAGGTGAAGGGGGCACTTGTAAAATGATCATTGGCATAAAAGGAATTAAAGGAGAACCAACTGGCTGGGAGAATTACTCATCATGTAAGGTATCTTTATTTTAAAGGGGTTTTAAAAATACTTAATCAAATGATTGTATTATATCTTTTGAAAGGAGCAGCTTTTGCTTATTTTTCTTCTACCACTGTTTCTTTGTATGATTATTTGAGATCTGAAATTGGAGACTTCAATTTATTTATCAAATGGGCCTTTTCAGCTAGGCATGGTGGTGCACACCTGTAATCCCAGCACTTGGGAGGCTGAGGTGGGAGGATCACTGTGTGTTGAAGGCCAGCCTGGGCTACATACACGAGTTCAAGACCAGCCTCCACTACATAGTGAGACCCTATCTCAAAAGAAAAAGGAAAAATCTAAATAAATAAATAGCTGGCTGGCTAGCTTATTGAAGCCATTATGTATTTTCTAACCTTTCCGCTGTGGACACTCCCTCTTTTGAGAGGCATGCTTAGTTCCCAAGTGCGTTCTGTGTTTAGATGCATGTTAGTGACACATTGATACTCTTAACACCATCACTGTCCAGGGTTGGCATCATCAGATAGGAGCTGCTCACAAACAGCTGTAAGAGCTCACGTTGCGGTAAGAGCTCCTTACACAGCACTACATTGCACCTTGTGACAGAAGGGAGTCCATGAAAGTGACCCCGGTCACTGGGGGAAGACAGCAGCATATAATAGTAATGAAGGAAGAGGAGCGCAGATCTCTCAGTCTGTACTGGTCAGCAGCAAGCCCTGGTGCTAGGAGGTTGCAGAAGTACCGTCTTGTGACTCTTGTGTGTTTCAAATTCATCACCATCATTTACCAGAGCCCCTCTCTGGTCAGGGTCATTGTGTTGCCGTCTGTTGGGGCTTTTCTGCCCCAGGTGGACTTTTGGTTTTTCCCTCTCCTTCCTAAGGTGCTCTTCACGTACCTTCCAGGAAACCACACTTCCTCCTGAATTCCTCCTACCTGGGCTTCTCTCATTGCTCTCTGTTGGGTCCGTCCTTGTCTGGATCTTCAGGTGCTGAAGGCCCCGGGGCTCAGTCTTCAGATCTCTCTGCATTTGCTCCCTAAACAGTTTTTTTCAGTCCTTGTGGCTTTGAACATTCTATGTGTATGTGGCCACAGCATTTAGATCTTCACTTCTGGCTTGTCTTAAGCTCTAGACATCTGCATCTGTCTTCTTGACATCCAAGCATAATAGAATGATCACGTGCAAAGCAAAACATAACTCTTGAGAGCCCCAAGGCCTTAGTGTTAAATGGTCTCATCTTACTATCAGTTACGTAGGTCAAACGCCTTGGGGTCTTCATTTCCATCATTCTTTTTTTTCTTCTTTTTTTGGTTTCTTGAGATAAAGTGTCACTCTGTAGTTCAGAGTACTTTAACTCATTGTGTAGCCCAGGGTGGCCTTGAATTCAGCACTCCCCCGCCTCAGCCTCCAGAGTGATGGGACCATAGGCCTGCACCGCCATGCCCAGTTCTATCTTTCTTTCAATACCTATACTCAATTCAACAAATTCTCTCAGCTTGACCTTCAGAATACAGTTTTAGTCCAACTGCTCTCACCGCTTCATGCTACCAACCCAGTTCAGAACACCACCATCTCTTCCAGGCTCACAGTACCTGCGCAGGTCTCCCAGGCCCATCCTTGCCCTGCAGTCTGTTCTCCAAGTAACAACCCCAGTGATGGGTACAAACACGAGCCCCAGACCATGTCATTTCCTGCTCGCTGTTCTCCCAGTAACCTCATATCACACACAAGACCACCCACACTCCTACTGGCCTGGCATCTGATCTGGCCCCATGCAGCACTCAGCCTCCTTCCCGAAGCTGTCCTCCTTCCTCACTGCACTTCTGCCGCGCCGCCTGCTTACCGCTCTCCAGCTCTATAGGCCCTTGTGCCTACACCCTGCCTGATAGGCTCTCTCCCAGGTCCTAGGCAGCTGGCTTCTTCCTGAGCGGGCCTCCCTGCAGAGCCTGACATTCTCTGCTTATTTCAACTACAGGATTCCGCTGCTGCTCACCCTGCAGCTTATTCCATGTTTGTTTACGGTCCCCCTGTTTGCAACCTCAGCATCATCCCTGCAAGGCAGGGACTTCTAATTCATGGCTGAAACGGCACTTAAATCAGAGTCTCAAGCACAGTAGGTGCTTGGTCAGGCGTTCTCCAATGAGTAAAATGTTCTCTGCAGCACACCGATGTGTCACTGTCTCCATGTAGTGAATCTTTGTGCTGTTGGGTTAGATGCCCCATCCAGCTAGCAGAGGGGTTCTGGGAACAGGGCAACTTCACAGCACTCTGAAATATCAAATTTTTGCAAGGAAGGTGATTGGGAGAAAAAGCCTGTTATTTGCTTTGTAATTGGCTTTAAACTGGTGTGAGAAACTATCTGCCTACTCAGTGACATGGAGGAGCGAATAGGAACTCTCAGCCTTGGGCTGGGCTGTAGCCCAGTGGTGCTTGCCTGGCAGGTGTGAGGGCCTGGGTTCCATCCCCAGCACTGCACAAACCAAAACCCAGTGAAAAACCCCTGTGATAGGGCTGGGGATTTAGCTCAGCAGCAAAAGCGCCTGCCTGGCAAGCGCAAGGTCGTGAGTTCGGTTCCTGGTACCGAAGAAAAACCAAAACAAACAAACAAACAAACAAACAAACCCTGTGAGCCATGTGAACCTATTGGGTTCAGTGTTTGCATATAAGAGTCAGACGTCCTTCGTAACAGACAGCACTTCATACGTTTAAAATACTTTATTTTAGGAAAGGTAGTCCTAGATTTGTTTGTCTTTTCTGTATTAACAAATTAATTACGATCAACTTAGATATACCATTGATTTTCTTTCTGAATCTGTATAAAAAGAGTGTTTTCTGGAAAAACCACAAGAAAAATACAACTGCTTTCTCTCTGCCCAGGCCAGTCGCTACCATTAGATTGCATTTTAAAATTTGATTAGCATCTAATACTTTTTGAAGTATTTATAGACATAGTTAAAACTATACCCCCAGATCACTAACCAGCTTTCCTAAGAAGTTGGATCTGTTTTACACATAATAAATATGTACCAAACATATGAACAGTTTCTAAACTGCTTCTGAGGTTTTAAAAATAAAAGTTACTAAAATGTATTTCTAGGTCAGGAATATAGCAGGTGTTTTATACAGATTCACTTAACTCTCTTAGAAGTCCTGTGAGGTAGGGTACTTTTAGAAATGTTACTTTCCTGGTTTTAAAAACAAAAGTGAGGTTGGCAGTGCCTCACAGATCTGCCCAGGGCCAAACTGCTAGAAGGCCAGGCTGGCGGCTGATCTGGGTTTCTCTTTCCAGCCAGATTATCGTCACTATGGTCTGGTGGTGGTGGTGGTGGGAACTGGCTACCTTAACACAGATCCAGGAAAAACCTTTCGGCATCAGGTGAGGTTGCTAGGAATCACAGCCCAGGGACAAGTACTGAGAACCACCATCTACTTAGGTTTTGACGCATATGCGTATTTTGGTATATACGTAAAGTGCAGGTCACCAAATTACTGTAACCGCCATCCACTTCCACGAGTCACTGAAGTAGTCACATCCCTGCTTCCTAAAGCCTCAGTCCCCCTCTAGCCCTGTCTGAGCTGGTTAGTCCACCTTCCATCATGACCTTCATTGCTGCATAGGAGCCAAAAGTCCCAGACAAGGTACTGCTTTCAGTATAGGGTACAGCTTGAATTGTTCAGTAGTCCCAGACCCTGGCATGCTAAAAAATTTTTCCTCTATAAAAGATGTAAAATTTAAAGTAGATAATTTTGGAAATTCTTAGTACTGGTTTTACCTTCTATATGCTAGTCAGTGTCAGGAAAATAGAACAACCATCTCATTCTCCTAGGTGATTTGTGGGACGGTTAGCATTGACAGATACATGGTGGCAAAAGCCCTGATTTGTAGCCTTTGCCAGTGTCTGTGGTATAAATACTCCCACCACGGTGGGTCTGAAGCAACCAGCATGCTTCTCAAGAGGGCTGGGGAGACAGGCCCAGCAGCACACCCCTACCCAGCTGCTATAGACAACTCTGAGGACATCACTAGAGTAAAATTAAGTGGTAAGTTTTGGCTATTTAATTTAATTATGTTAATTTTAATCCGGCTGCATTTGACAACCAGCTTTCAAAATGAAAATTTATCAATCAGCTTTCTAAGCTGGCCTGAGCTAGCCGGGCACACCACTGAAGTAGGTCCCACAGAGGACGGCTCAAGCGCTCCTTGTGATGTCCTCCAGTACAGATGAACTGATCTCCACAGTGGGCATGGGAGGGACTCTGGACTCTTAGTAAAAAGCACATAGATTTTTGAACATGCCAGGGAATAACTTAGGGTTTGTTTTGATTGATTTAAAATATATCTACATGTAGCAATGATCATTAAGCTTTGCAATTTCAGCCTATTTTTTCAAACTTCAACTAACAGTGATCTCAAACCCAGGGGGTGGTCCGTGCACAGCTTCTGCCCTTCCGGCTTGGTGTCCTGGACAGTTCTTTCCAAAGCCAAACCAGGGCAGCCAAAGGCAGTTGGAATCAGTAGGTAGGCAGGCTTCTAATGATTCGCCAGGGGAAGACCCAGGTACCCAGACAACATAATGTCTTCTACCGGACCGAGAGTGAGTGGAGAAGATTCAAGCAAAGGCAGTGAGAGAGGCCTCCCTGCGAGCCTCAGCTTCCTGCTGCAGTGTGGTGGCCTTGGCGCTCGGCGGCTGGAGTCCTTGCTTGCCCCTTGCAGCCACTTTCACCTCTGGTAGCACTCAGAGTTCTCCACTCCGAGTGGTTTGTCTTGGGTAGGAACTGTAAAAGAAAAAAGCCATATAACACAGGTAGCATGTCTCGGCAGCTCTGACTGCCAGCAGCAATGATTCATTATGAGAGCTGGCATAGCTTTTTGCTTTTCTGCTGTGCCTGGCTGGCTAGGGAGCCCCAGAAGAGGTCAGGACTCCTAGTCCTACAGACTCTTGGGGGACCAGTTCAGACTAGTGTCTAAGGTTGAGGAATCCGAATTTATTTTTGCTTTCCATGAAAAAGAACACAAAGACTATTTATTGTTACTTACTTGATATTCAGCAACTATTGACTGAGCTGAACGTGTGTCTTAAATAAAGCTCTGTGCTGATTGTGGGGCTACACAGTGACCAGTTACACCCCCCTCAGAAGCATGGCTGTGCTTGGTGTTATTTCAGGGGTGCCCCTGTGCTTCTGGCCTTGCACTGAATGATGACGGGGTGTCTCCCTGATGAGAGGGAGGACTGTGGATGCCTGTTCCTTCACTGTGGTGACTGCTTGTCATGGAGTGGACAAGGGCAGGGGCAGGGAGGGCTCAGAGGTATGAAAATAGCATTGGGACTCCCCCTGCCCAGGGTCTCCAGGAGGGAGGCTACTCTTGGGAGGCGTGTCTGCCCCGTAGAAGCTTTTCTTTGCCATTTGGCCCAAAGGACTTCTTTTTGAAGAAGAGATTTGGGCCAGAGTCAAAACCCCCAACTGCAATGAGGTGGCTAATTAGGCTGCTGGGCAGAGCTCCAGCAGGGAGGCAGGCTGAGTCTCAGTCCCTGATCAGGTTGGAGAGAGTTTTGGCTCGTGGTTCCACAGTGTGGTGAGATGCAGGAAGCCAAGTTCACGGTGCGTGCCCCTCTGCACATGGAGGAAGCCTAAGCCAGGCCATCCCACTCTTGCTGGCCTTTGGAGCCCAGCAAGGACAATCACAGGGAAGGCAGGAAGAAGGAAAAGGAAGCTGGAGGAAAATAAACATTTCCTTGCATTTTACTTGGAACCGAACTGCACTTCTGCCATGCTAACATCACAGCCTTTCCCCCGACCCACCCCTGCTTCGTTTTCCTCCTCTTGTGCAGAAAGGGATTCTTTCCCTACCTGATGGGAGTCCAGGGTGCATCCTGTGGGAAAACAGGAGCAAGACATAGAAGGTAAAAGCCAGGCAGCCAAAGATCACGCCGCAGACCAGGAAGCTATAGCTGCCCTGGGCCTGGAATATCTGCCAAGGGGAAAACAGAGATGTCAGCCATTAAAGCTCCACACGGAAGGGCCCCTGGGGGAAGCCTGCTGCTCGGTCAAGTGCAGCCTCACACCAGTGGACAGGAACATGAAGAGGGATGTTTTGCCCTCTTCAAGGTTACACACCTGGGGGAGACCAGTCCCACACTACGGCTGGGGCTGTACTGATGTCCGCCTGTAGTCTTTCAGCTCTGTGTTTTGGGGCTTTCTGAAGATATCCATATCACCATTGAAACGCCAGTCACACAAGATGTTTCTATACTCATAGGCCTAACATGAACATTGCAGAGAGTATATATTTTTAACTTTTTATTATGAAAACTAAACCTGTGTCAAAGGAGCACGTGGAACTCCCACAGACCAACTCATCACCTAACTTTTATCATTCGGGGCCAATTTCATCTGTGACCTTCCACTTCCTCCCTGCACTAGATTAATGTTGAAGCAAACTCTAGACCTGGAGCCATTTCAGTCCAGAGGGCATCATGAGATGCAGCTCGCCCCTCCACCCAGCAGGGCAGAAGGAAATGCACAGAGAAAGACCACATGATGAGAGGACTCTGGAGACTGCAAGACCTGGGTTTGATGTCATCACTGCCAGTCATTTGAAGTGCGATTAACCTAGGGCAGGTTGCTAGTTTACCTGGGTTTCAGTATCTCCTGCTGTAAAAAGGGGAATAGTATCTACATTGGTCACGGAAAAGCAGACACTAAACAGGTGTGGTGGCACATGCCCGCAGTTCCAGCCATCAGGAGGTTGAGGCAGGATTGTTAGTTCAAGCCTAGCCTGGTCAGGCTAGAAACAGTAAGACTTTGTCTCAAAATAGAAAAGGTCTGGGGATGTGTTTTTTGTTCGTTTGTTTTGTTCTGCTCTATAAAAAAGGCAGGTGTTTGTGTTTGTGTTTTTCCTGGGCATGCCAGGGCAGAGGCAGGAGAGTGGGCACCTGGGCAGGGTGGGAGCTGGGCAGGGGGTGGGGTCCTCTGCAGCCTGGCTGTGGGCTGAGAGTGTGGACAGGAGAGGGGACGGAAAAGGAACTCAGACTGTAGCTCACACTGTTCCGGGCTCTGAGAGCCGAACCGCATTCCCGTGTCCCCTCTGGCCCTGGTCCCAGACACAGCCTGTGTTTGCTTTGGACTTGTCCACACATCTGTTCGTGTCTCCAGATCCCACATTTGGAGGCCCTGCTTTTCAGCCGGGCTTCGCAGGACTAGGAAGCCCACAGCGCAGGCTCAGAGGTGTCAGCTGCCTGGAAGAGGCATCCCCACCCATGCTCCCACCAGAGGGCCCCACATACCAAACCAACCAGCATCTGCAGGGCCATCTCTCCAACGCCTGCCCCTGTCACCAGCACTGTGGTTGCACAACCTAACAAAAAGAGAAGGGTTTGGCTGGGTGAATGGGCGTTGAGGACACAGGAGTTAGCCGTCATAATCCTGGGAAAGCTCTGAAAGATGGCACAGCCGGAAGGACTACTCTGGATTCTTAGGACTTCTCGGGCCGTGCTTTGGGAACGCGCGCATGCTACACCCTAACGTCCCTTCCTTTGCTCTCGTGCTGTTTTATTTCCTTCCATGTCTGATCCTGCTCACTTTTTGCAGTGGCGCACCAAGGAAGGGGTGCACCTTTCCAGGGTGCTCAGAGAACCTTCCTGGAAGAACAGGAGGAAGACAGAGCAGACAGACAAAGGGGTAGGGACAGGGCAGAGAGGACAGTCCAGGCAGAGGTGGCACCGAGGTGCCACAGCATGGAGGGCACATCAGTTTCTGTGGCATCGAGGAGATCCCAGTAACTCCATGTGGCTGAAGGCTGGCTCTTCAGAGCCCCAGGGAGAGAGGCCGAGGAGAAAGGGCTCCATAGCAAGATAGGAAGTGGTGGGCGCGGATGCTTGACAGCAGTCCGGAGGCCCCTGCAGCAGTGTGGGGGCGGCTTGGGGAGGGGCCTCAGGCACACTGCAACAGTCCAGCGCGGAGGCCCAGGCCATGGTCTTGTTACAAGGGCTCAGGCTGACTTCAAGGCTGAACCAGCCAGGTGAGGCGGGGGCAAGACGGAAGGCAAGGAGACAAGCCAGGCCCTACTGAGGCAGGGATGGGTGATTTGAAACTTGGGAAAGCGGGCACCATTCAGTACTCCCAGCAAGTGAATGATAAGACCCTGACCTTAGGCAGGGACAGTGAAAAATGCAAAGAAATGAGTTTGAGTGGTAATCTGCAGGCAGAATCAATCCATATATCACTGTTGAACTCTTAACATTTGATGATCACTAAAAACTGTAGCATATACTGTGTGCCATATGGTGACCATGTTATTTCACTCCTCACTCCCTTAAGGGTTAGGTCTGAGCACGCAGGCCTGGACTCTGGGAGGAGATGTCCCTGGGCTGCCTCTAGGATAAGCTGTGGGAAGAGACCATCTCCTTGGCATGTCCCCTGCCCTGCACCCTGCACAGCTCAGAGATGGGTGGGTGACGACCACCTGGCCGATAAGACCTCTCCCCGCCAGGCCAGGAGAGCATCAGAGTCCCGGTTCAGTGGAAGGTCACCAGGCCCACCCTGACTTGGGGAGCCTTTGGTCACATATGGTATCCTACCCAGAGGGGCCGGAAGGCAAAGAAACTGAAGTGACTCTTTGATTCATTGTCACATGTCTTCTTTGTCTTCTAAATTTAAAACACTAAACTATAGGTATAGTCTCATTTGGATGTACACACACACGCCCTCAGAAGGGAACTGGAAGAAAAACTACTACAAGGGTTATTTTTAGCAACTTTCACTTGTTTCTTTAAAATATGCCTCTGTTCTGCTGTTCAAGCTTTTTGCAGTGAACATACATGACTTTCATAATAAAAAGTTTCCCATTTTGAAAACAAAGTATGTGCAAATTTATCACAGGAAATATTTTCTCTTAATGCCCAGCGATGCCATAGCATGCTTAGCTTGGGGCCTCCGTGGACTCTGGTCTGACCCGGCTGTGGCTAACTGGGCCGGGTATAGCCCCGATTGCTCCACCTCCCTACAGCCAATTTCCCCGTCCTCTGTGCAGACACTGCCCACCTTTGGGCTGGTTTTCCAGCCTCGAGAGCGTTTCTAGTTACTTCCAAGGGTGATGTTTAGTGTTCAAAACATGATTAGCGTTCAAAACATGATTATTTTTAATTAACTCATCTTTAAAAAGATCTTTGCTAAATGCCCCTGGGAGGCTAGGGAGAGGGAGGAACATGAGCTGAGAGTCAGAGGTTTCTGACCTCAAAGAAGTGGTATCAACCCCAAACCAGGTGAGGAGTCCTTATTCTGATCTTCTCAATCTCAAACAACATCCCTGACCACAAAGCAGAGAGGCACTGGTACTGCTAAGTAAATGGCACAGTGCCTTTCCTCTGCCCCAGCTTTTCCCAGGCAGCTTTGCTTCTCTTTGAATTTGGGGTTCCAGCATGCACATGACCCCAAAACCACCTGCTGCAGGCATCACAGTGGGGAGGTGGGGGACTGCACTGCCTCTGCCAACCCCGAAATCACACATTCTGGTAGAAGGCTGATCAGAGGGAGCCCATGGGCCGGGGCCCCTCTGTGCGGAACCTGCTCCCACCCATGGTTTCCACGTCGGAATGCAGAGGCCCGAGCACCACAGAAGCAGGGTGCAGAAGCCCCGTCCACCCCTCACCTCTGTACTGCAGGATGTCCTCCGTGTAGGCCAGCATGCTGGGGAAGGTGCTGCTTAGGAACAGGCCCAGACTCGCTGTCCCCGAGAACAGGAAGATGACATTGTAGGAGAAAATGAGCAGCACTAGGAACGTCACCACCACGCCCACCTGTGGCAGAAGTGCACGTGATTAGAAAGTGGGCCACCCCAGGGCACCCTTGGAGGACACACCCGGGAGCCAGTTTCCTCTGGCCCAGGAACAGCGCCGTGGGATCGCCGCGCCACCTACTGGTCTATCTGTGAGCTGCGGCATTCCTGGTCCGGGATCCGCAAAGGACCCCTGCGGATACTACGGGGAAAGTGAGCCCACCCGGACAGCTACGCAAACAGCCCACCGTACTCTCCTGAAGAGCACTGGGAAGTGAATGCTACTGTCTTCAAGGTCTTTGCTGTTACCACGGAAGGTGAACCCATCAAAGACATCTGTGCACACTGCCCTGCCCGGTATGTAAGGGTGTGTGTGATAATCCTCCACTTCTCGGGCCAAGGGTGCACATAATAACCAGGAAGAGCTCCTGGAGAGGGTGTTCAACGGTCGGGGTTCCTCGCCCTCTGGAAGTGAAGTCAGCCTCTTAGGGTCAGATCCGCACGGGGGAAATCTGACCTATGGTTGAATCCCCTGCCAAAGGCTGCCATGCCCAGAAATTCTTTCTAGTGCAGCAAGGGTCTCTGTACACAAACATACAGTAACCCTGTTTCTGAGCACTTTAAAAAAATTTGTTTTTCTGGTGCTGGGGATTGAAGACTTATGCATCCCAGACAAATACTCTACCACTAAGCCACACTCCTGCGCTTACATGTGTTTTTATGTCAGTATTGAGCAATTCCACTGGGTATGGTGGCACACACCTGTAATCCTAGCATTAGGGAGCTGAGGCAGGAGGACTGCTGTGAGTTCAAGGCCAACATGGCCTACATAGTGAGTTCAAGGGCAGCCTGTACTACACAGCAAGACCCCTTGTCTCCAAATGGAAAAAAAAAAAAAAGGAATAAAATGTTGAATACTTTCTATGCAAAATGCATCTAGGAAAGAAACCCAGGCGGCACAAGACCTGGAGTCTGCAACCTGGTGCAGGTCCCAGCTGAGCCTTTACCAGCTGTGGGAGCTTGACATGGCTGATCTGATTCTTAGCTTTGTGGTCTGCAAATGAGAACAGTTACAAAAGCTGGCCCCAAAGGCTGGTGGTGAAATAACATACGCAAAAGGGCTCTGTAATGTGTGACGCTCTGCACAAGTATTAGTCCTAGCATTTATGTGTGGGCTTTTTTTTCTCCTTCTTTCTGGTACTGGGGATCAAACCCAGGGCTGCTCTACCACTGAGCTACATCCTCAGCGCCTCCTCCCCTTTGAGACAGGGTCTCGCAATGTAGTTCAGACTGGCCTTGAAGTCACTGTGTAGCCCAGATTAGCCTCGAACTCACAGCAGTCCTCCTGCCTCAGCCTCCCAAGTGCTGGGATTATAGGTGTGTGCCATCATGCCTGGCTCATCCCCAGCGCTTTTTAAGTTTTAAGAAAGTATCCAACTAAATTGCTCAAACCTCCCTCAAACTTTGTGATCTTTCTGCCTCAGCCTCCCAAATAGTAGGGAGCACAGGTATGTGCCACCATGCCTGGCTGTAACTCATAGTTTTGAGAGGAAAATGTCATTGGGTCAAGGCTGGGAGTATGGCTCAGTAGTAAAGCACTTGCCTAGCATGTATGAGGCGAGGCCCTGCGTTTGATCCCCCAAACCAAAAAATAAGCAGAAATATCCTGGGTGAGGACATTTATCTCTAGGAAAAAAAATAAGAAAACAAGACCTAGAAAGTATGCATGGATCATACCTAGTCCAACCCATATGCAAGTTTACGGATACAGAGCTGGGCAGGCAGAAAGGAAGAGACCCTCACTCGGGCGTCACAGCAGCTGTCTCTAGGGGCTTCTCTCCAACTGGAGAGCAAAGTTGGTGGCGATCCATGAGCCTGCGGTGCCCCTCCCAGCTCCTGTGCCTCTGCCTTGGCTCTCCCAGGTGTCACACAGCAGACTCAGACGCCTCCCTGGAGAGAGATCTGCCGCAGAACTGCGGCTCAAGGGAGAAGCACATTCCCTCACCATGGAGAGGCAACACGGAAGCTTCTTCCATGCACAAAGCCATAGGAACAGTGGACATCCTGTGGTTCCAAATGCGCTGTATTTTTGTGGCATACAAAGTGGACCACAGCTCTATTTGCTCCTCCTTCTGCCTCTGCTCAGTCTCCTAGTGTTGGGGTGGTGTAGGAGTCTACTCTGGTCCTTCTGTATCCCTAGGCCCCTCTAATCCAGCTCCTTGGTTTCAAATATCTCTGTGCCAGGGACTCTTACAGCTGTCTCCCCAGCCAGGACCCGTCCCAGTCCAGAGCTCTTGACTTGTACATAAAACTGCTTCTTTGCTACCCAAGTCACCGGGGGACTAATGGGCCGGCCTAAACCAAACGTTTAGTTTCCACTATCAGTCTGCTCCTTCCCACAGCAATTAACACCCCACACGCTCCCTCCTGCCCATGTGTCACATGGAGGCTGAGGCTCTGGAGTGTGCAAGATCAGCTCCAGGAGTTGGGGGATAGCTCAGCGGCAAAGCACGAGTTTAATGTGTGCAAGGCCTTGGGCTCCATCCCTGGCACCAACAAAACAAAACAAAACAAGACTTGGTTCCACCTGCAACTCCTGGCCAAGGAAGGCATTGCTGCTGGAGCGTGACTGACATTCATACTTCTTCACAGGAGGCACTGAACTCCACCCGCAACCAGGATGACCTAGCTTCCTCGATCCGTGAGGCTGCCAACACCTCAGACAAGTGCCAAGCCTACCACTGTGCCCTTGTATCCAACGAGCCTGTCCATCAAGGTGCGGGACGCCCTTGTGCTGAGCACCCCATCCACGCAGTGAGGGCTGACATAGCGAGGAACTAGGCGATCGCCAGGCCTCTGAGGTGGAATGAGCGTTCGCGCCGTGGTGGTCACTCTTGGTGCAGCTGCACGGTGTTAAGGACTGTGGCAGAGAATCCCAGGTGGAGAGGCCATTGAAAAGTAAAACGTTTAGATGCAGTAAGTGGGCCAGTAAAAACTTGGCTCTTGGATAAAGAAAAAACCGAATAGCACTCTTGCTCCTGTTTGGATTTTGAAAGGCTCATGTGTTAAAGGCCTGGTCCCCCAGGGTATGCGCCTGGGAGGCCTTGGGCGCAGCCTGGACCTGGGCCTGATCCTCTCCCTCTGCTTCCTCTCGCTCACCTGCCGTGCTTCCTGCCCTCACCATCTGGCACAGTTACCCCAGGCCCAAGGCAGTGCACCTGCCTCATCATGGAGTGGAACTGCCAAAAGTACGAACCAAAATAAACCCTTCTCTCTTTATAATGGCCTCTGGTGTTTCATCACAGGGACAGCAAGCCGAAAGGTGTACTCCCCGCTCTGCTGCTACTCCAGCCCTCAGTCGGGGAGCAGGGAGTGTTCCCTGCTTCCTCATTCCTTTCCTCCAGCACTCAGGGCTGCTCCAAAACACTGTAGAACCTCCCATCTCTCCAGATCCCTCCTGACGCCCCCACCCGAGCACCTCCCTCTCTAGCCTGGACACAGCAGGTGCCTCATGGTCCCTGTGTGCACCCTGACCCCTGACAGTGGCTCCCACGGAACAGGAGGGCACTGTTTAAATGCACCACAGGTCAAATACATTCGCTATTTGAAAACTTCTGACAGTTTCCTGCGCACTTAGCGTACAGTCCAAAACCTGGATTACAAGGTTCACAGGACGTAGCGTTGGTCCACTTCCCAGCCTCGTCTTCCACACCCTCTCCTGTCCCTCATATTCCAGCCCTGTTAGCCACCCCCACCCCAGGGCCTTCAACCTGGCAGGGCCCTCTGCTTGTCCCAGGGCTTGTACATCTAGATATCCCATGAGCTGGCACAGCTCAGGTGAGACTGCTACTGCACCTCCCCCAGCGTGGCCAGCCCTGCTTATGGTGTGATCGAAAAATACGGTGAATGTTTAACTTTTTAAAAATTTACTGCAGTGAAAATACACTGCCATCATTTCCCCTCAGAATACCCCCTCCGTCTTCACTTATCCTATTGCTCCTGCAGCTTTCTGAAGCAGTTCTGGAAGTCCTCTCTCATAAGTGTCTTTAGTTGTGCTGTCATGGATGCCTCAATGTTCTGAATTGATTTAAAATGTTTACCTTTCATGGTCATTTTGAAATTGGAGAAGAGCCAGAAGTCATACAGTGCCACATCTGGTGAATAAGATAGATGGGGGTATACAATAATGTTTTTTTTTGTTTGTTTGGGGTTTTTTTGTTTTCTTTTTCCGGTACCAGGAATCAAACTCACGACCTTGCACTTGCCAGGCAGGCACTGTGCCACTGAGCTAAATCCCCAGGCTCTACAATAATGTTTTTATGAGCCTGCCTTTCCACTGGATGAGCAGCATTCACCATATTTCTTTCTTTTTTTTTTTTTTTTTGTACTGGAAATCTAACTCAGAGCCTTGAGCTTGCCAGGCAGTGCTTGTGCCGCTGAGCTATATCCCCGGCCCCTCACCATATTTCTGATCACACCTTATAAAGACATTCATGAAAGCGGATTTACAGAACTGCTTCAGAAAGTAGAAAGATTGAGCCGGGTGTGGTAGTACACACCTGTAATCCCTGACTCAGGAGGCTGGGGCAGGAGGATCCCCACGAGTTCAAGGCCAGCCTGGGCCACATGGTGAGTTCAAGGCAGCCTACTATACATTGTGAGACCCTGTCTCATAAAAACCAAACCAAAACAAAAGTAGCAAGGATGATGGGACAAGTGTGCTCAAAGTGGGGTAGTATTCTGAGGTAGATTAATGGCAATGTGTCTTTTACTATAATAGTTTATTGTTATTTAAACACTCATTGTATATTTTGATTTCATCTCATACCAGCCACATGTATCACCAGGCAAGCCTCCAAGCCAGTCATCCTGAACATCTCGATTTGGAGATGTTTGAAAGATGCCACCTCCCTTACCTTAGCCTTGGGGACAGGAGACTGAGTGTGTCCAGGGCAAACTGTAGCGTGGTCTAGCAAGGGCTCTTCTCTCACAGTGCGGTCCCCAGCCTCAGCCAGGGACCCCTACAACCCAGCAGACTGTCGCCAGCAGGAGGCTGGGGCTGGCCTTACCAAGCCCCACACAGGGGGCAGGCACTGAGTCAGAAATGGTTGTTGAGCCCCAGGGGACTGCTAGGACAGGGTGACCACCGTCACGGAACCCTGACAGGCAGGCTTGGAAGTGGTCACAGCGATTATGCCACCGTTTCCTCACAAGTGCCGTGGAGGGAGACTCACTGGGCTGGGCAGCCATGGTTCCCAGGCCACGCCCAGCAGTGGCAAAAGCTGCCACAGAGCCTGCAAGACGCCACCAGTAATGCTCAGTCAGTGTTTGCCCACACTTGCTCCGGGATGCGAGCCCCGACCTCTTCTGGATGTTCTGATTCATCCAAGTCTGCCCTGGACCCAGGAATCTGATTACCCTTTTTAAAACCAGCACCCCAGGGAGGGTGTTTCTTGAGTTCAGTTTGTTGTTTTGAGACTGGGTCTCGCCGTGTAGCTTAGAGTATAGCCTAGACTGGCCTCAAACTTCGAATCTCCTGCCTCAGCGTACGGAGTGCCACCGTGCCCAGCTTCAGGTGGGTTTTCAGAGGCAGTGCCTGGCACACAGACCCCTCACACCTTGCTTGTTCCTTCAAGCCCACGCCCTGTCTCCCACTGGCTTCTCCCTGAGCAACATGTCTTGTGTCCTCTCTAGCGGGGGATGCCAAGGCTGGCCACTGTGAGTGCCTGGCCCCTTCCCTGCTGCGCCTCAGAGACTTCTGGAAACTTTCTCCATCCCAGCATGCTTTGCCTCAGCTCCCTCTCCTCCAGAAGCACAGCTCTTCCCACCCTCTGCGCCCTCCACCCAGGCCCTTCCTCACTCAGCTCCTGTCCAACCTTGGCATTTCCCATATGCCCCTCCGCCAGCCTTCCTCCCTTTATCCTCTGCCGAGTCCAAGTCCTGCTGAGCGACTCCCTTCACCTGAGAATTGAGTGCAGAGTGGAATCCACACATGGCCTCCATGCCCCATCCCCTCTGACCCAAATCCTCTGGGGTTTCACTCCTACCCACCCACCTCTGTCTATAGGAGGCTGAAATTTCTTCCCTGCAGATCAGCAGCTAGCACAGGCCAAATCCAAGGACTCCTCTAGCCTCACGGTCTCTGGCTCTGTGGCTCCAACATTCTGGCCACACCTCCTCGTCTGTGAGAAGCCCAAGGGAGAAGGAAATTTTTACGGTGGTTGGGGCTACCATGAAAGTGGGGAGCACCCAGTCACTGCAGGTGTCTAAGCAGAGACCAAGGAGCCCTGGGACAGGATGTCCCAGCCGTGCGTCCGGTCTTGGTTGGCACCGGGTCTGGTGACCCGTGGGTGACCTTGTCCTCTGAACCTGTTATGGTGGTGCCATGGATGTACATCAAGGCAGGACCCTGACCCACGCTCAGGACCACTCCTGGTCCCAGGCACACCTGTCCCTTGAAGCTCATAGACTTAGCAGTTTTGAGTCACCAAGAGAGCAAATTCCAGCTTCAGCCCATGGTGCTGAGTCTAAAGGCTGGAAGATCTCAGGCCACTACTGGGCTGTGACCAGCTGGGCACCATCCATAGAGGACCATAGAGCTTCCTTGTGTTCTGGCAGCTGTCAGCTGGAGTCTGCTCCACAGGACTTCTGCTTGTAAGGTTCAAGGTCAGGGGCCCAGAGAGGGAAAGGCACTTTCCGGGTTGCACAGGCAGGCTCCACCTCCCAGGTTCTCTCTCTCCTTTCACCCCTCATTTTACCTTCCCTCCATGTCAGCAGAGTCCAGTCCCAGGCACATGTCCTGGGCCAGCAGTGGGGCCGGGGGAAGCACTCTGGGGCTGAGAAAGGAACAGAGGCCACCCCACCACTCACCAGATTGATGAAGACCATGGTGGCTGGCCTCATTCTCGAGGAGACGGGAATGGAGATGAGCCGGCCCAGCGTGATGAAGCCCCAGAAGAGGCTGGGGAGGTAACCGGCCAGCTTGTGGCCCACAGACAATGGCTTCTCCACGGCATAGCTGTACACGAAGGCGGAATACGCCCCCTGCAAAGAGACCCGGCCCCGCTGAGATGCCTCCCCAGAGGTGTCACTGGTGCTTGGGGGGCGCGGTCCTTGTGGGGAATATCAGACACGCGCCGTTCCTTAGCTTTGGAAAGATGTATGCATGAGCATCTCATTTTACAGATGAGTGCTCAGGGTAAGAGACCCACCCAAGGTCACCCGGAGAGGTGGAAGCCAATCAGGCTTTGCAAATAGTTTTACCAGGTCATCTAGGTTTTTAGGGCTTTGTGTGTGTGTGGGGGGGTCCCTCCGATAGCAAGCAGTCAGTCATTCAAAGTATTTCTGGGAAAAGGCACAGAACAGTGTAACTGGTCATGCCTGGCATGAGCAGTGGGGCCAGAGTCTGACCTGTACCTTGTTTACAACACAGGCTCAGGGAGCCAGAAAGCCAAGTGCCCTGGCAGTCACTGTAATGGGGGGGGGCAGGGTTCTGACCCTTTAACAACTGGGGGTCATCTGTGCTCAGTAAAAAACAGGCCCCAGTCAGCCAGGACATTGCCCAGCAATGGGCTGTGAGCTGCTCTGGAGAGCCGCTCCCCAAGGGTGACACTGCATCAGTGAAGGGTCTCGCCATTCCCAGGCTCAGTGTGAGGTCAGCAGGGAGCACCTTGGGCGGCTCACCGTCATGCCATCCGTCATGAACAGCACCAGGGCGGCTGTGATGTGGATGGCGAAGAAAGAGCAAGGGGCTCCCCGGAAGTTCTTCCTCTGGCAGCAGCTGAAGAGGTCCTCATGCCCTGGGGGAGGTGTGGGAAGGGCAGGGGTGAGGCTCCCTCTGCTCCCCTCCCCTGCGCGGCCAGGGAAGCAGCTGGTGGTCAGAAATGTCTGCTACCTTCTGTAGTTTCCGGCCTACATATCAAGTGCAGCCTCCCTCTGTCTCTCAGCCCTGGTGGAGCCAGAGAGATCAAGTAACTTGCCCAAGGTCGCACAGGCAGGGACGGATAGCGTGGAGGTCAGACCCGGCCTCCTCATTCCTGTGCCCAGCCACCCCTCTCCTGCCCCTCCAGACTCCAGGGCCAAAGTGTTTCTAACCCTTATCACCTGAGATCAGGGTCACTTCTCTGGGGTGGGGTAGCCAGGGAAGCCTCCAGGCCAGACTGTGAGCATGGATGCTCACTGGCGCCCCCACCTGGGTGTGGCTGGAACTTTGAGGACAGCGAGGCATCTTCCTTTTCAGAAGGCCGGGTCTCCAGGGCAAGCTCATCTGCAGGCAGCAGGAGGGGCTTGCGCTGACCGTAGCAGGTCAGCAGCCGCTCCTTGGACAGTAGGAACAGCACGGCCATGGGCACTGGAAGCTGGAGGGCAGCAAAGGGTCAGGGCAGCCCACTGTCCCCTTCCCCCTCCTCTGCATGGTGCACACACACACTGGGTGTGCAAAGTCCTGGGAAAAGATGGCTCTTTCCCAATGTGCCCACCTCACTGGAGAGCCGTCCTCAGCCAACGAGCCAGGTCCTTGGGCTTAAGCACACCTGTTGCCCTTAGAGGACAGTCGTTAGAAATCTGACTCACTCTGGGCCTCTGCTGGGCACCCAGAGACGTGCCGGGGTAACTGGTCTCCGACTCCCTGCTTCTGAGCAGTGCCTCAGCCTGGCACCTCCTGTGCCTGGGTGCTGTGGATCATGCCACGTTGGGCAGGGCAGCTTAGCTTCTGTCCATCACAGCTCTGTGGAGTGTGCCAGGCAGGATCACAAGCACCTTTTTCCAGATGTGGGAACTGAGGTTCACAGTGAGCCCTTAGTCATGTCCTGGTAGAACCGGAAGGTCAGCTAGAGAAGCAGGAAGCGAACTGTCCCCTCCACATAGCCAGCTTGGGCAGAGTTAGACGGGAAGCTGGTGTCCTGATTCTGCCCAGCGCCAGCACTGTCTCCACTTCAGGGGAGCCTGGTGGTGTTACATAATAGGCTGGGGTCTATACTAGACACACCAGCATGGGCTCACTTTCACTGACAAATGCGTGCTTACAAGCTTCCTGCACACACAACCAGTGCTCAGCTCCCTGCCCTGTTCACTCAGCCATTTGGTTTTCCCTGAGCTCCCCAGAGCAATGGCACTGTCTCCTGCTCCGCGGTTGCCTGGAGAAGCCGCCACCACCTCCCTCAGGTGCCACGAGGCCAGGAAGTTCTTTATCAAGTCTAACCACTGCCCTGCCCACTGCAGCCTCTGCCCCCAGCCCTTTGCAGAGGAAGAAGAGGAGGCCCAGGGAGCTGCAGAAGGTTCCAAGAGGCCAGTGAGCACAGCCAGTCAATGGCTGGGGCAGATGGAAGCCAAGCAAGCAGCCAGCCCCAGTCCCTCACCCTCTCCTAGGCAGGTGAGAGCATACCCGGCCGGAAGACAAAATCCACCCACCCCTGCTTGACACCTCTGTGGGTGACCTTGAGAGCCTTTCTGCACACTCAAGAATGAGTCAAGTCATTGAGCCCCTGGCAGCTGTAAAGCCACAAACGGGCTCCAAGTGAAGTCCTGGGCCCCATGAGGCAGACACAGCCCTTCCTGTGGTCCACTGGGGGAAAAGGAAGCAGCCCCCACCCCCACCACAGAGACCCACAGTGGCTGAATGCCTGGGTGAAGGCCAAGGGGAAACAGCTGTAAGCAAGCCTGAGCACTCGGGTGGGGCTTTCCAGGGAAGTGGGTGGCAGGGACACTTCATAGGATTGGCTGGCACTGCTTGCAGAAACCCGCCCCGTCTTTGGGGGAAAGCAGTGCCACCTTGAAAATCCACTACCTCTAGCTCAGAAGTGTGTGTGTGTGTGTGTGTGTGTGTGTGTGTGCGTGCGCGCGCGCGCACATGAGCACACCCTGTGTGCAGGTTTGGCCACATTCTCCCCTGCAGTGCACTGTTTATTCTCCAACACAAACCAGTGGGAAAAGCCCGGAAATCCTGCCACAAACAAAGTCCCTCAGTCTGTGCCTGTTGTGGGGCAAGAAAGCAAGGCCTGGGCTTAAGTGGGGCCCTCTGATTTTTGGTGGCAGAGGCCCAGCCTTGATGCTACAGGGACAGTGCCCTTCCCATCCCAGGCCCCCCTTGGGAGACAGAGGCCCCAAAACAGCATGGTCCCAAAACAGCCAAGGCTCAGCTAACACAGAGAACCCCTCCTGGGTTGCAGAGGAGGATTCCAGATGGACACCAGAGTCACTGCTACCTTGGCTGGGGCGGCAGAGGGGAGCTTGGTGTCTGAGCCAGGCACGGAGTGGGTGTTCTCTCTGCTCTGCCCTCACCACAGGCACCTCCTGGCCACATTTCACATGTCTGCTGCCATGGCAGACAGGGCCCCTCAGAGAGCATCTGTCAGTCCCCAGCCTCTAGCGGAGCCCCCTAGCAGCAGGGCACAGGAGACCCCCAGTGAATGACGCCAGAGAAGAACCTAACACTACCATGGTCTGTCCAGGGTCTACTCCGTCTAGCAGTGGAGGGAAAGAGCTGGTGCTCCACCAAGCCTCAGAGGGCTTGTAAGTGAGCCTTGATTTTCACTGAGCTAAGCCTGCTCATTGCATGCTTTTTTTTTTTTTTTTGACACCAGGAATTGAACTCAGGACCTTGTTCTTGCCAGGCAGGAACTGTGCCGCTGAGCTATATCCTCAGCATCATGTGCTTCCTTGAGAATTGCGATCACGGAGGTCCCTGCAGAAGGACCTCACTGATGACACCCGGGAGGGTGGTTCTCCCACCCTCCAGCCTCCTGGCCACATTTCTCAGAATCTGAAGAATCTGCTTCAGGAGGTGGATGGCCTGACTTGTGTGGACTGTTCACCAGCTCCCTGCCCAGCCTGCCCCAGCAACACTCACATTGATGAGGGCCATGATCCAGAAGGCATAAGACACACGGGTCTCAGTCCCGCCTTTTGGGGCTGGTCCAGGGAGTGTCTGGTTGGACTGAGGCTGGACTCCCACGTGGTGCTGGCCTAGGACATGGGCGGTGTGGAACAGGTGGCTTCTAGAGGAGGCGTTGGCCGTAATGTTGGCAGGAAAGCAGCTGGCCTCGGACAGGAAGGGGTCAGCAATCAGGGGGCTCAGCAGAGCACCGAAGCCTACAAAGAAATGAAGCACCTGTGGGAAGGAGGGGAGTCTGGCTCAGTCTTTTGGCCCAGGAAGCTGCAGCCTGGTCAGATTCCTGCCCAGAGGGTGTCAACTCTCCTTTGACCCCACCTCACGCCCCGGACTGGTCCACAGTGGGTGGAAGAGGGGTCAGGAAGCAGGAGAGGTGAAGGAGAGTGAGGAGTAAAGCCCCTATGCCCTCCCTCCAGGCCTGCGACAACGTGGATGACAGTGGCCAAGCCCCTCCCACTCTTCTCCCCAGCCTCAACCCCCACCAGGGCTGGGGTATCCGCCAGCTAACACCCCATAAGCACAGCGTCCTCACAACACGTCCTCAGATCTCTGCTCAGTGTTGGGGTTCTGTGGGCAGGACTGAGAGGAGGCAACCAAAGCCCAGCATCCTGAGTGACAGCAGGTGTGGCACTCCTGGGAAGTGGCAACCTGGGCCGAGCCATCATGTTGGTCCAGAGGAGACTCCTGGTCAGGGGCTAGGAGAACGGGAGGGCCTGGCTAGGGAGTGCCCCACGCTGCGCCACCCCCGGCCCCGCTCACCTGGAGGAAGATGGCCGAGTCCTTCTGGTATATCCTCACCAGCTGCATGTTGGCCACCGTGTCGATGCAGCCCATGGCCAGCCCCGCCAGTGCCATGACCAAGGCCAGCACCTTCACGTCGCGGCAGAAGGGGATGACGGCAAACACCAGGGAGATGGCCAGTGTGGAGGTGAACAGGGCCCATAACGACTGGGCCAGGCTGCAGTGGGGAGGGTGACGTCAGCAGAGGGGCCTGGAGCCTTCCGGTGGGACACCCCTTCTTGACCTCCCCTGGCCAGACACTTCTGAACCCGCTGGGAGGAAGGGAAGGGAGCTGAGGGAGCTTGCAGCTCTCGTTAGCTGTGGGTCGTGGGCGAGTTGCTGAACATGCCTGTGTCCTCAGGGAACAGGCCCCGCTGTGAGATCGTGGAGCCAGGCATGATGGTGCAGGCCTGTAATCCCAGCACTCTGGGAGGCTGGGGCAGAACGATTGCAGGTTCTCACCTAGTCTGGGCACCTAAGCAACCTAGGGAGACCCTATCTCAAAATTTTCAAAGTAAAAGAGCACTGGGGATATAGTTCAGGGCAAAGGCCCTGGGTTCAATCCCCAGTACTGCCAAAATACAACCCCCACCCACCAAAAAAAAAGGAAGAGATGCTGGCGGGGGAGGGACCCTATTGAATCAGGCACTTCAATCAATACTTAACCACTACTATTTTATTCAGTGTTCCTCTGCTTAACACTTTCCTGTGGGCTGAGCCATCGGATGGGACTGTCTTATGCTGCCTGATAAACAGCCATGCATGTACCACTGGTGGTACAGTGTCGCCCGGCAGCAAGACAGTTACACCTTAAATTCTTTCCGTATAAACAACTCTCTACATAAACATTTCCTTGTCATCTCCGGAAGTTGCTTGGGGCACCTGCAGGACACTGCCATTGCCTCCAAAGGGAGTAGGACCCAGGATGGAACCTGAACCCAACATCCCCAAGCTGGGTCCTCTTGCCCGAGGGTGAGGTGTGCCACAGTATGCCACGGTATGCCTCCCACCCAGGAATGGGCAAGGGGCCTGAGCCACCAGCACCCAAACCCAAAGCCTGGCACTGGAGCAATGTGGCGACGCCCTTAGCAGGCCGAGGTCCTGGTTTCCCTGTGAAGGGAACAGAAGGAGGGGCTGAGGCTCATCAAAGTCTTTTGGGGACCTTCTGCCCCATTACCAGACCCTCAGAGAAAAGATTACAGACTTGTATTTTCTGGGTTGAGGATGTAGCTCAGTGGTAGAGCCCTTGCCTAGCCTGAGAGAGGACCTGGGTTCTACTCCCTGCCCTGAAAATTAAAAAGAAGAAGAAGAAGAAGACTTGTATTTTTGGGGCCAGTCTGCAGGGCTCATGTTGGGGTGGGGTGGGGTGGGGTAGGGTCGTGTGAGGTGGGGTGGGAAGGAGCCCGGCAGCACCATGGTCCTGGAGGAACTTTCTCAGATTGTGAAAAGCAGGTGAGGTGGGGTGGGCACCGGAAGACCTCGCCGAGCTTCTGGCACACAGAAGAGGAGGTGCAGGCCCCGGAGACCCTGCAGACTGCGTCTCTTCCAGAGCTGCATCTGGCTCCCCTCTGCCATCTATCTCATCTGCCCCACATCTGATTAAATCCTTTATCAGAGAGCTCTGCTGATAGCAGCAGTTCGTTATTTTCTCATTTTCTCTTTTCTTGTTTCCAGGCTGATCTGTTGGGGAGATTACTGTTCATGACCTCAGCCTGTTCCCAGCTCAGAACCCAGGAGGAAGGGCAGCTTAGAGACCTGGGTTAGAGGGAAATGGAGGGAAGGAGGGTTGCGATTCGAGGAGGCCTGTTCAGGTCCCTTGGGTTCCTCGCCTCTCCCTGGTGGCCCCACTCTGAGCTTTGCAGCCCTGGCCCCCAGGCCACACTGCCTCTCCCCCTGATGCTCACTGCGCCTGCTGCCCTGAGGTGGCCACTTCTCCGTGGGTGCCTCCTCCTCAGGACCCAGGACAGAAGGGATGGCAACCTCTCATAACAATTCCCTCTATTCCCTTTCCCTGAACAATGTGGTCCAACTTCAGGGACAGCACCCCCAAACGTCCCCCTCCCCACTGACCCTAGAAACCAGGACCTGACATTTCTACCACCTCTGCACTTCGAAGTAAGGCAGACACGCCCCAATTAAGTGCACATACTCTGTAGAAGAATTAACACACACTCATCATGGCCCTAGAAAACCTGGGCGAGGGATGGGCGTGCAGCTCACCGGTTGCGTTATTACTCAGTGTGTGTGAGCCCTTGGTTCCATCCCCAGTACCCAAAGAACAAAAAGATCCTGGGGGAAAGTAGACAAAACCAGCAGTGAGTCATGCAGCAAAGGACCTGGGCTCTGTAAACTAAGATGGGAAGGAACTGCGGGGAGCTATGGGGGAGGAAATGATGGATAAGGATGAACATCGCAGTTTACAGGCGGAAATGCTACTGTTTGTAATGTCCTAGGCGTTTGCCACACATGACAAGGTTGTGCAGTAGACTTTGTGCCCATTCTACTCAGGAGTAAACTCTGCCTAGGAAGGGCTAAAAAAGTAGCTGGCAGAGCCTGGATCCCCTGGTCTTCTCACTGTAAGGGCTGGGGGTGCTAGCAGAGAGCTTCATCCAGATTCCACAAAGCCCTGAGTGGCAGGACTGAGGCAGTGGGGAACCGCTGTCATCTCTAGAGCCTGTGCCTGCTGGTGACCACAGCTCTGAACGTCTGAAGCTCTCATCGCTGGCTCACTGCCGTCTTCCTCATTGGCACCATGTGTGGCCTGAGCAGGTCCACACTCCCAGATAGTGCTGGTGACGTGGACAGGGCTGCAGGAGGCCCCTCCTGCCACCCCACATGGGGTGGCCCAGGCAAAGAGACTGGAGCCTAGCAGGAGGCTGACGTGGGAGTCTCACTAGATTATCTGACCGGAGTGGCCCTGACGGGGAAGGAAAAGTGCAGGTGGCCTGCCAAGAAGGTGCTGGGTGGAACCGCAGGAGACTCAGGAGATGGGAAGGGGCCCAGGTGCCCACCACAGGCTGCCCTGCCCCAGCCTCTCTTCAATTGTTCCCTTTTACCTTGTTATTCTTGAGAAGAACAGCAGATGCCCACAGGGGACTTCTGGGTGGTGGTGGGGGGGCAGGCCCTTGACAGAAGGAGTCAGGCAAAAGGAATCCCCTCCCTGGGCCTCCTGCCAGGCCCCTCCGTGGGCTGTGACTTGGGTCACTGCTGCAGAGCCAGTGGCAGGAGTGCTGCACACATCCCGGGCCCGGGCTCTTGGGAGCCAGGGCTATGGAGCCCCGTCCTCAGTAAATGGGGACATCTATACCACAGGAAGTCCTTTCCTCTGGATTCCAGGCTGCCCACTCTCTGCAGTTGCTTCAGCAGGGCTGTGTCTGGGCATTCCAAAAATCATCCTGAACAAATTTCTTTAGAATGAGATGTGGGTGCCCAGAAAGAAAGAAGTTCCAGATATAGCTCCGAGCCAGACTGGAATACAGTGATTGCCTGTTTTAAATGGCTTGGTCAATGGTTTCTTCCAGGAATGCGGATAATTGGAAATTATGGAAATAATACTGTCAGAAGTACGGGCTTTGAGGAGGTAATGGGATTTGTGACCGGAAGATTGGCTTGCAGCCCATTTGCCACTTCCTGTGGTGTAGCCTGGGGCAAGCTGCTTACACCCAGGCCCTCTGAGCCTCAGTTTCTGCTGTCATAAAATGGGGGTGGCAAGCTCTGCCTCCCTAAGCTGCTGAGCAGCTCCCCACGCCCATGCTCAGCCGTCCCTGCTGGCTCTGTGTTCCCCCAAAAAGCAATGCTGGGCCCAGAACACTATGCTCAACAGAAAGAGTGCAGAAGCCAGTACCAGGGCTCCTAGGTCCCCCGCGCCCTAGGCCTACTCCAATCCCTACCTCAATACCCTCCACAGCGACTCCAAGACGCCGGTTCACAAACCAGGAGGGGCGCCCACCACTGCCCACCCAGGGTTAACTCAGGCTTATTAGAGGAGGAGTCTCCCTCCCACAAGGCTGGACCGTCTAGGAAATCTGTGTCAGGGTGCCTGTGAGATGACTGAGTTACCTATTAATGGCCCCACACAGCAGGTGCAATAGGGGAGCAGGAAGGCAGGAGCCAGGTCCTCCTCCCCCACTCTGGCTGTGACTCTACCGGAGTCACCTGCCCACCACATTTGCCGTGTGCCCTTGACATATCACTAACCCCTCCCAGCCCTGGTGCTCTGTCCTGCCCAGACGACACGTGATCACCTTGACCTGGCCCTGCCTCGGGGACCTGCTCTCCTGGGCCGCATGGTGCCAAACGGAGCAAGAGCCTGAGCAGCAAGATGCTATTGCCTGTTCCTGCCCTCCACCCTCGGGGTGGGGAAAAGGCTGCTGAGGCCCACCCATGCCACCCTGGGGTGGGCCAGGTCTGGGGCACTGATACATTTGCTCAGGAACTCTATGCAGCAGGGACACCCATGACATCTTTCCTCCTTCCCTGCCCAGCTGGACAATCTCCTTGAAGGACCAGAGGAGAGGAGAGGGCACAGAACTTCGGAGAAACGCCAGGTGCAGGTGGCCCCAACCCCTATGCACCCTAGAAGGTGGCAGGCAGCCCGAGTGAGATGGCACTGGGTTCTGGGACAAGACACCATGAGACAGGGCACCCCGGGAGCTAGGACAGGTTAGCAATCCCATCCGAAGCCAGTCTGAGGGGGAAGAAGCAGTGCCAGGGGAGAAGAGGTAACTCGGCGGCCCTCAGCCTGCACGCTGACACCTCAGCAGCTCCAGGGCCCGGGGCAGGGCTGGGCACATTCAGACAAGCCTGTCTTTGGGGAGATCCCAATCTAACAAGGACCTTTTACACTCAGGCCGTGCATGGAGACTTCCCAGGACCCGCTGAGGCGCAGGGCACATCAGAAGCCACCTCAGGCCTTAGCCGAGTTTCCAGTCTGCCAACACACCTGTCCCCCAATTCTCAGCGTGCCCGGTTCTCTCCTGTCACCCAAGAGCCAGCTCCAATGTCATCTCCACAGAGAGGACTTGCCTGTGCACAGTACCATGCTAGGAGCCTGTTTTTGTCATTCCTAGCCCTCTTCGGTTGCTTCATTTCACCACCGAAAGTCATTCTCCAAAGAGGAAGCTCTGTGAGGTCAGGGCCTTGGCTGGCACAGCCACACAGGGTCTGGCTCAGGAGACATCTGCTGAATGAGTGAATTCATGAGTGGGATGAGTTTTAAGATTTTTTTGTTTGTTTGTTTGTTTGTTTTGAGACAGGGTCTCTATATGTATTTCAAGCTGGCCTTGAACTCACTATGGAGCCCAGGCTGGTCTCGAACTTGGGGTAATCCTCCTGCCTCAGCCTCCCAAGTGCTGGGATTACAGGCATGAGCCACCATGTCTGGCAAGTTTTAAGATTTTTTAAACTGTAAACATTGATATGGCCAGGAATATAGTTCAGCGGCACGAGCACCTGCCTGCCAAGCACAAGATCCTGAGTTTGATTCCCGGTACCAAAACAAAACAAAACATTGATATATAATTTATAGACCATAAAATTTAAGTGTACAATTTGTCTTTTTTTTTTTTTTCTTTTAGCATGTTCTGAATTGTGAAATCGTTACCGCAATCTAACTTCTGAGAATTTCTGTCACCTCAGGAAAGAAAATTTATGTGCATTAGCATTCACTCCTGGCTCTCTCATCCTGCCTCCAGCATGTGGCAGGCCCTAATGGACTTCCTATAGCTACACTTGCCCTCATCTGGATATTCCAGAGATGGAATCACACTCTGTAGTCTTTCGTGACTAGCTTTCTTTCACTCCGCATGGTAGCAGGATGATGGCATACTGTATGGATATATCACATTTTGTTTATCTTTTATTTATAAAAGCATTTTTATTAGTGCTTATTATTATTATTGTTATTGTTATTATTATTATTATTAGTCTTTTTGAGACAGGGTTTCTCTATGCAGTTCAGGCTGGCCCTAAACTCACTTTGTAGCCCAGGCTGGCCTCAAACTCACAGTGATCCTCCTGCCTCAGCCTCCTGAGTGCTGGGATTACAGGCATGCACCACCATGTCCAGCAGTGCTTATTAATTTTATCTGAACCAGCTAAAACAAAATGAAACAAGCTAAACAACATATAACGTCTCCATGTGGCATCTTCACAAATGCATATAACATTTTGCTCATATCCACCCCCCACAACCCTTCCATACATATCCTTCCCCTGCCCCCACCCCTTCCTCTCCACTCATAGTCTCCCCTCTACTTTCCTACATCTTTTATTTTTTTAATTCCACATATTCAGAAAAATAGGATACTTGTCTTTCTGAGTTGGGCTTATTTTGCTTAACATGATGATCTCTTCCACCCATTTTTTCTGCAAATGACATGATTTCATTCTTTTTAGAGTGGAGTAATAGTCCATTGTGTATGTGCATCACATTTTCTTTATCCATTCACCCTTTGATGGGTACCTAGTTCCATATCTTGGCTATTATGAACTGGATATGCCTCATGTTATTTACCATCTAGCTATTCCTAGACATTTGCTTTATTTCTACTTTTGTCTGAGTATTACACATGATGTTGCTATAAACACATGTGCACAAGTTTTTGTGAGGATAAAGGTTTTCACATCTCTTGGATTGGTCCCTAGCAGAGGAATTGTTGGGTCCTACGGGAACTCCATGTTAAGATGGGTTTTTAAAACTAGACCAGGTCTGCTGCTGGGCTCCTAGCAGGCATTTGGCATGAGTCTGTGGCATGCTGAAAGGTAGGAAGCTCCCCAATGGACAGGCAGAGGCTTTGCGGAAGGGAGGCCAGCCAGAGCCTAGCTCAGGGAGGGGAACTGGCTCGCACGTTTCCAGGGGTGGGGACGCAGTAACACAGGTCTGAGAGTGGCCTAGGACCCAGGTAAGAAGACTGAAGTTGACACAGGGGCAGAAGGAAGTCACAGCTGGGTCTTGTGCAGGGCAGGACTTGTAGACTAGAAGCAATTTGAGGGGAAAAAGTAAATAAGGAAAGAGTAAAGAGGGAAAAGAAAAGACCTGAATTAGCCTTTGGTTCAGAGCTGTACACAGGGGGCTGGGAGAAGCTGGGAAGCTCTCAGGTCATTTATCTGCCTCCATGCCGCCCAGATAAGGGGGTCTCCCAACTGCCCGGGGTGGTCAGACAGGTCTCCGAGGAGCCAGGAAAAAACCTGTCACCTCTTGTCTAACTACTCTTTTTCCTTTCCTGTCTGACCTATTCATCCTGCCAAACAGGTGGCTTTTTGTTTCTCTTTTTCTGAAATATTTCCTCCTTGAGCTCAGCAAGATTTTCCTGAGGAAGGTGTTGCTCAGAGTCTTCTGGCTGTACTTGTGCCCCACTGCCTCCCTCTGGCCCGCATCTGGTGGCCTCCTTCAAAGTATCTGTGGCCGCTAGAAGCCTCAGAGAGCAGTGCCGCAGAAGAAGGGTGCAGGTCCCCCAGCGCGCCCACTGTCACTCACATCCGAGCTGTCTCTTCACGCCGCCCAATGGAAGCATCCAGAAGGCCCCTCTGGCCCGGGACTCTTGGTTTGAGTACAGCAGTAGGTGGGACCTGAGCAGAACCCTAGAGAAAGAGGCGCTGCCCAACTCCCTGGAATGTGTCATCCGGCACTCCCCCCCACGCCCTCGCAACAGCTGGCCCATGAAGATTTGTTAAACCAATCCCTCACTCAGGATGCCAGCCTGGCACACCGGCTGGTAGTCATTTAAGCCGAAAAGCACTTACGAGCAGGGGGATTAACAAGTCAACAGAGACAGGCGAGGCCCATGGCAGCAAGCTCCCAAGACCAGTGACACGGATGGCAGGGGGTCTGCTTGTCTGGGTTAGGGGGACTGTACTGAGAGCTGCCCAGGGCTTCTAGGTGGGTCATCCCTGGACACCTGTTCTTCCCATTTCCATGGGAAGTCTGCTTTCCTCTTCACCTGGGGAAAGGGTTCTTTGTGACCAAAGTTCAGACTCCACACCTGAACCATCAATAGGCCCCACCCCACCCTGGAGGACCCCACCCTGGAGGACCCCACCCTGGAGGGTCCCAGCAGGAAGCCACAGAGTCCCAGCATTGGTATCAGAGCTCAGACACACTCAGCCTGTGAATATCACTGGATTACTCACCTCCTGCCTGTGCCTCATCTGCAGAGCAGAATCTAACTACTCATAAAGTCAGAGCCAAGATACTCGGTTCTATAGACAGATGCCTAGCTTCAGTCCCGGCAAAGTTTCTTCTCAGTAACTGTGATATGGGGCAAATTTCTTAACCTCTCTGTGCCCTGACTTTCTTATGTATATAATGGAGTTAGTTACTAGCGCTTCTTTGCAGGGCTGCAGTAAAGATGAAATAGGCTAAAGCATGTAAAGTACTAAGAATAGTGCCTGCCTGAGAAGGAGTACACACTATAGTTATTCCTGTTAGCATTATCATTTGGCTTTTCTGCGAGTCAGTTTCCTGCTTCAGGACCCCCTCTGCTGCCTACGCAAAGCCCAGAGGGAGGCACAAAGCTAGCCAGGAAGAGATGGCCCAGCTGGCCGTCCGTCTCTGCCCACTGTGTAAAGCCAGGCCTGCCAACCTATCACCTGGAATTCTCTTCGTCCTCTTTCCTATTTGGTTTCACTATACATGTTCTTTAAAAGTTCCAGGTGAGAGAGCTTTTGTAGGTCTAAACACTGAATGGTGATGGAACACAAAAGACGCCACTAGTGTTGAGTTACTCTCTTCATTTCCGTTGAAATTGCTAGGCAGAATGGATCTCCAGCTTTTTCCTAAGGTTTTCTAACTACAGCACATTGACTGGATCCTATTGCAAACCCACAGAAACACCGCTGTACACAAGCAGATTAGCTTGCTAAGTAGGAAACTCTCCAGGTTACAAGAGGGCTTGGACAGGTGAGGATAATCACTCCCTAACGGGGTGCGGGGAGGATGTCCCTCTGCTTCTCTCCATCAGCTGGGGAAGCAAGGTGCATATGAACATCCAGGCTCTTGAATCCCTGTAGGAGCAAGCAAGAGGCCAAGAGGCCTTGACCCAGATGGGCAGCCCTGGGTGTTCCTCTGGGATAGCCCAACTGTACTTTTGTCCTTGGGCCAGCTGCTTGCTTGAGTCCCCGCCATCCAGGAAATACTCAGCCAGGAGCTGGGACTTGGGAAATCACGCAGCACCTCCCAGTGCAAGTTATCTAGTCCCCAGTGCTGTGTTTCTGTTTCCCTGCTGTCCCTCTAGAAGGGCCTGCAGAGGTGGTTGTGCCAGGGAGCCAGGGAATGAGGCTCTGCAGTGGTATCAAAAGGGGCATCGCTGGGCACCATGCCAGGAAGAGTCGAGCTCAGTCCTCCAGTGAAGGCCAGGGGAGAGTAACATGGATGGAGAGGGACCTTGGCACCAGGGACCAAGGCTCACCTGACCCACCTATGATGGCAGGCTCTGTGCTTCCCTACTGGCCCTAGCCACCAGGTCTTATGTGTCTCCGAGACAGAAGAACCTGTCCCAACTCGGTCAGGAGCAGCACCACACAGAACCCACCGGTCCTGTGGCCACCTGGGCAGACGGACAGCCCATGTCACTGATGCAGAGCGAGCTAGGAGTGGAGCCACCCCGGGGCACCTGCTCAAACCGCAAGCCAGCCCTGGCACCCAGCACTGCTCCTGCACTGGCACTCCACCCTTTCCGCCTTGCTGCCAATTCTGCCCCTGGCAGCTGGACTACGACAAACCTCAGATGGCCGTACAGGAGGGTCCCCCCACCCCTGCAAACTCCACCACCTGTGCCAGCCCGTGGGCTGCGAGGGTGGAGGTGGGGAGCGTTGGGAACTGGTTTCACCCTCTCACAAGGGTGAGTAAAGCCAAATAAATAATTCAGAAGTCACCTTCAGTCCCCGAGAGAGTTTTTAGGGGGAAGCTGGGTGGGGGCGCAGCGGCAGTGCTGGGGAGGAGGAGGGGTAGAAGGAGGGGGTGGAGGCACTCACGTCCTCTTGAAGATGCCCCCGAGGGCGCTGCCCAGCAGGAGACAGAGCTGCTGTGAGAAGAAGACCCAGGAGATCTGGGGCAGCGAGCTGTGCGTCTGGCAGCGCAGGTCCAGCAGCGTGGGCCCCAGGAAGGCGATGCACAGGCCGAAGCTGAAGAAGACGCTCCAGTAGGTGAGCGTGGGCTGCAGGTGGCGGCGGAGCAGCTCGGACACGCGGCCGTGGCAGCCCATGGCCTCGGCGGGCGGGCGGGCTCGGCTGCTGGCTCGGAGCGAG